CGATGGTAACCTTGGATCTATCACTTGTCATAACTGGCTGCTGCTTGTCATCTACACAACACCAGGATTTTAGACAAATGGGACTGATGTCATCTTGAACGCTTCGTTTATTTTGACCGTGATTTATTTGGAGTGGAGGCATTGTTTTTAGGGAAAAAACACGTCATGTAGGTTGTCTAAAAATAAAGTGCATTTAAACTCAAAAATAAAAAAATAAAAAAATAAAATAAAATTAAAGCTCAAATTAAAATATTAAATTATCTTGAAAAGCTAGTTCTCCATTTTCTTTGAGTTATTGAATGACTTGAGATTTGAGGTTATTTAGCTGACAGTTAATAAAGGAATGGAGGGGGTTCTAGTGGTGACTTATTAAGAGGTGCCAGTAAGTGACCCATAGAGAGAGGTTCTTCGGAGCTGCTGCTGCAGCCCAGGTTGGCATTGAACCTGCCGCCTCTGCCTCCCAAGCACTGAGAGTCAGCCATGAGCGGTTGAGCAGCCTGGCTCTAGGCTCGACTGCCTGGTGGTGCAGCCTTCGTAAACTGTGCTTAGCTGTGAAAATGAACCTTGATGTGGACGACTGTAGGCTTTTTGACCCAGCACTCATGATGGTGCATTTTGGCCTAATGATGGTTATAGGATTGGTAAACTAAACAAAAAATAAAAAGTGTAATATTTAAAGCTTCCTTTGGAAGCTTGCATTTTTATGTTAAAATAGTCTTCTTAACAATTGGTTTGATTGGGGCTGGAGAGATGGCTCAGTAGAATAAGCGCTTCCCTCGCAAGGGCCTGAGTTCAATCCCCGGTTCTGCAAAAAAAAGAAAAAGAAATAGCTTTAGTGGGTTGTCCCAGATACAACAGTTAAAATTGTTTGCTTTATAGTTATAGTATCCTCATTTTGGAGGACTATTTGACATAGTGTCAACAGTTAAAAATGCAGAATTGTAGATACACTAGTAAGTCACGGTGTCTTTCAGGAAATATGCCTGCATATGTATGCAGAGCAGCAAATACTAGGATACTCTTTGCCATATTGTACACACGCCACTTCTTACGGTAATAATCTGTCAAGGACTACTCTAATGTATCACTGTAAATTGTGTAGTGCACTAGATACATCTGTAGGCTTTATTGATTGTGATTTACCTAAATTGAAATGAAATAAAAGGGGCAAATGGAATTTGGGCTTAATTTTTCTTACCTTTTTTTTTTTTTTCCTGTGGAACCAGGGATTGAAAGAGGAAAGTTAGGTTGTTTTTTGTTGTTGTTTCCCAGAATTGGGGATTGAATTTAGGCCCTTGTGCTTGCTAGGCAAGCACTTACTCAGCTGAGCTATCTCCCCATCCCCTTTAATTTTTCTTTGATAATTTAAATATAAAATTTGAGGGCTGGCCAAATAGTTCAGTGGATGGCGCAGGGGCTGGGGGTTTATTCCCCGGGCCTGCTGTGATGGTGCTCGCCTGTAATCCCAGCTCCTGGGAGGCTGTAAACAAGTAGATCCCTACAAGTCTGATCTAGTGAGACCTGAACACCCTGTAGACTATTTCTTAAAATATAAAAAAAAAATAGATTAATTAATTAAAACACAAAATTTGAGTGTATTGTAACTAGGGAACTTTGGTGGGGTTTTTTTTGTTTTTTGTTTTTTTTTTTTCCCCCTTTTTACTATTTTCTTTTTTGGTACTAGAGATATAACTCTGGACCTCGCGCTTGCTAGGTAGGCGCTACGCCGCTGAGTAAGGAACTTTCAGTAATCCTGAATGGCAGCTTTTTAGTCTTACAAAAAATGCAGAAAAAAAGCAAAGAGATAATACTAGATATGAATAAAATGAGCACTTTAAATGCCAAAAAAAAAAAAAAAGAAGAATAGCCTTGCAGCAGGTAAGCAAGTGTCCTTAGATATACTTTGAAATATAACTTCTGATAGGATTTGATGTGCAAATTACATCATTCCAAAATTAGTGTGGTATGTGACCATTTGTTTCCTTTGGTCTTTTCCTTTTAAAACTAAAGTTTTCTTTGAGGTTGGGCCTATAAATTGTAGTCACAACTATTTTTATTATTGTCTGGTGGCTGAAAACACAGATGTGGTCTTTCTCCCAGGCTCACTTAGTCATGGGATGTGCCTAATGAATGTCTGTCTTCTAGTGATGGTAATTCAGGGAGTTAGAATATCCACCCAGGGAAATTCTTTAAAATAGAGAACCTAATTACAGTGGGGTCTGTGTGTCTGTTTGTATTTGGCACAGGGTCTCACTACACAGCTCTAATTCGTAGTGCCCCTCCTAAATGTTCAGCCTCCGCATGCTGGGATTACAGTCACCACCATGCCCAGTCTCATGGATCAAACCCTGGTCCCTGTGCTTGCCTAAGCAGGGGTTCACATTTCTCACTTTTTTTTTTTTTTTAAACAGTGAGATTTCTTCTAAACTTGGTATAATGTTAGAACAAGTGAATAATACTGAGGATGTTAACAGTGGTTGAGTGTCTGGAAGTGGGCTGGAAAATAGAATCCCTTCTTCTGCTCCTAAGGTTGAGCCAGCCCCCTCATACTGACCTATGGCCTTGGCCATAGCTTAATTAATTTATAATGAATTAATTTTTTGGAGCCAGGATCTCATTAAGTTGCCTGGCTGGGTTTGTACTTGTATTCCTCCTCCCTGTAGGTATGTGCCACCTTGTCTGGCTGAAAAGTCTTTCTTAAACTTACTTGGACAGAGGCAAAACCACTGGGGAATATATGGCTTTTAAAAATTGATGTTTGAATTCCACTCTCAAAACTAATTTAATTGAGGGGGAGCATAGATATTGGGCTTTTTGGTGTGTAGCTAATACTGTATGCCACTGCCTTAAACTTGTCTTTGGTTATCCCTCAAGATGTAACGCATAATCTGCTCATTAGCAGCAATTCTCTGGTAATTTGAACAGATTTAAAATGGTCTTCTCTAGTTAATCCTCTTCTGTTCTTTCATGACACGGTGCTCCCCCACTTACTTCTTTGTAGCCATTTCTCCACTGTAGGGGAAATAACCTCCCTTGTATACCTACTGAATTCCTAGTGCCTAGCACAGGGCTAGATACATAGTAGTCATTTTGAACGATTGATTAAATGATGGTCTCCTCATGAACTTCAAATTTTCTAGCATATATTGGTGAATAAATGTTGAATGAATGGACACTGGGTATTCCACTGAGTGATACATTACTTTGCCCTTAAAAGTGTTTGGATTTGTGATTATATGAGAAAGTATATACTGTGCCAAGTAAAACTAAAACCGCTTATACAATGCATCTATATTGACTAAACCATTTCTAAACTAAGAAGTCTATCTCTTGGCATAAAGACATGTTAAAATAACAGACAAACTATCTATTAAAAGTTGAAAAGTGAAGCGATACCAAAATAAACTGCAGTTGTGGAATGGCAACGTTATAGTTAGAACTCTAAAACTGGGGAAGTTGGCTCCTGTGTGTCTTATTCCATCTTCATTGATCTTTTGAGGATGGTAATGATCTCTGGTATTTTCATTAGATGACAATTTAATAGGCTTAACAAGTCAGTATTAATGATAGCAATAGGACTACACTCCTTCATACCCTTTTTTAAAAATGGAGTGGTAACAGGCAGTGGATAAAATCTAGCCACATCTTGTCTTTTAATGTGATCATAAATCCTTTTAGTTTCATCATATACCAGCTCTTTTTTACCTTAAGGTTCACTAAGTGTAAGCCTATTTTTATGAATATGTTTAATGCCAAGTGTACTGTTTTGTTTTTTTCTCTGTCTATAGGCTAAAGAAATCCTGACAAAAGAATCCAACGTGCAAGAGGTTCGATGTCCAGTTACTGTCTGTGGAGACGTACATGGGCAATTTCATGATCTCATGGAACTGTTTAGAATTGGTGGCAAATCACCAGATACAAATTACTTGTTTATGGGAGATTATGTTGACCGAGGATATTATTCAGTTGAAACAGTTACACTGCTTGTAGCTCTTAAGGTAATTTAAATTTAATTTTTGGGCTTTTGAACTGGGTAAGATCTCTTAAATGTTTGTTTTTCTTCATAGTGATTTGCAGTTTATCTCTGTCTATATGTTAAATTTCAGAAAAAAATTATTTAGGAATAAAGTAATTCAAACTTTATGTATACCAGTTGTAGTTTTGTGAAATGTACAGATGAAGATCTGAGAGTGAAACAAAATACTGTATAGCCTTTAGGGTAGAATGTTTCTGCTTATAAAAAACTTGTTTGACTTTTTCTTTAGGGGAGTCTTTCCTTTTTCTTTTTTTCTTTGATCATCCTTTTCCTAGACAGCAGACTCGTTATAGAATATTCACAGTGATAAAGTGGGTGCCATGTACTTAATCCAGTATTATAGAAGTAGGGAGTCATGGTTTCAGCAAGAGCTGAATTTGTAAGTGATTGATGTATTTGGTTGGTTTTGGTTTTTTGAGACAGGGTCTTACTCTGTAGTTCAGACTGATCCTGAACTGGGTAGCTCAGGCTGACTTTGAATGCAGCAGTCCCACCATGCCTGGCCACTGATTGATATATTGCATAAAAAGTTACAGAACTTTTTTGGAAGTCATATTTTGCATTCATAAAATGAGAGTTGGATTACATGAAGGAAGTTATGTCTTTTTTTTTTTTTTTTAGGAAGTTATGTGTTGTAGCTTTAGATACTATAAAGAAATCTAGCAAGTTACCTGTGCTTAAAAGTATAGGAACAATACACAGAGGAGGAACAGATGTATCTTGAAAATTCATTTAGGGGGCAGTGAGATAGCTCAGCAGACTAAAGCACCTGCTTAGGCAAGCACAGGGACTGCAGTTCAATCTCTGGCACCACATGCTACACCAAAACCAACCCCAGGGTGGGCTGAGCCACCAAAAGAAAATTCAAAAGACTCCAACCTCCCTGGCACCTTCATCTTGGATTTCTAGCTCCAGAAAAGTGGGAGTTTCTATTTTTCCATGGTTCTTTGTTATGGCAGCCCTAGCAACAGATTAATACTGGAGGAAAGGATGGATGTTTCTGTAAATGGTGATAGAACAAATCAATGATAGGGTTGGGGATGTATCTTGGTGGTAGTGTGCTTGCCTACTATACTCACAGACACCACCATCCACCTCCCCACCCCTTCACCCCCCAAAAAAAGAAAGCAGACCTAAATGGAAGGTCTAATCTGTAGACTTTCAGAATATAATGATAGGAAAAAAGTCTTCCTGATCTTTGTTAGGCAAAAACATCTTAGATTTGTTTACAAACGCATGATCTGTTAAAAGAGAAATTTAATTTTCTAAAAACTAAGATTTTGAGGTTCTTTAAAAGACACCACAAAATGTATATTTAGTGTTAAAATATTTACTATGCATTTTAATCTTTATTTTTGCTAGTGGGGATTGAATTCAGAGTCTCCTACATGGTAGTAAGTACGTGCTCTGCCACTGAGTCACACTCACATCTTCGTTTTTTGACACAGGATCTTGCTGCATACATAGTTCAGGCTGACCTCAAATTTGCAGCAGTCTTTGTGTCTCAGCCTCCTTTTTAGTGGGATTACAGGCATGTACCACTATGCCCAGCTCTTTAAATATATTTTTACCCAATCTAAATTTAATACCAAGACAGGTAACTTTCAAATGGAAAAAATATGGCTAGGGAGATGGCTCAGTAGAATAAGCGCGCAAGGACCTGAGTTCAATCCTCAGTTCTCCCCCCCCCCAAAAAAAAAAAAGTGGAAAAAAAAAAAAATAAAGCTGTTTTACCAAAGAGATGCATGGTTACTAAA